TCAATCGCACGTGTGACGGAGAGAGGGGGGGCGGGGTCGGTGTGTAGCAGGTAAACTTGGAGGAAGCCAGCAGTCTGCACTGCTGGCTTCCTCCAAGTTTACAGTAAAACAAACTGGTGGTGTGACCAATGGCCATTTACAATTATTAATACTATTACTATTATTAGCATTAGTCTATATTTTGGTTGAAACTAAGCCAGGAAAAAAAAGAAAAACATAAATAATAATAAAAATATATATAAATAAAATCGAATTTTAAAAATAATTTTCGATTATGGAGACTGTAACGAATATTCGAAAAATCGAATAATCGCTGGCATCCCTATATAGTATGTGTATTCTCTCTCTGTCCTAAACGGCTTGTTGGAGCTCCTGCCCCCACCCCCCCCTCCCTGTGAGCCCAGTGTGCTCTGATTGGTCAACTCGCCCACTCTGTTCTGATGAGTCCACCACCGTTACAGCGGAACATCAGTGATTATTTGTTACAATGGCGTTAGCAACCAGAAAAGGACACCAGTAATGACAAACAGATGAGAATGCTGCGTGTGGTCTGGGTGCCGTGTTGGCGGGACGTTGCGAGGCTCGCTGCTGCGAGGAGCGGACAGTGTGAACTGGCTTACTGGTGTGGTTTCCTGGTTGCTGCGTGTGGTCGGCGAGACAGCGAGACACAGCGAAACCCAGCCCGAAACCAGCCCGAGCACACACACACACACCCGCAGCCTGGCTGTGAGTCTGTGTGTGTGCTCACACACAGAATCACAGCCTCGCCGCGTCCCGCCGTCTCAGGCTGAAAAATCCACGGAGCTGCAGCTGAGAAAAGATTGAGTGTGTGTGTGTGGACCAATCCGCGGACTTAATGTAACGGCTCTCCGGACGTAACGTAACGGTTCCGCGGATTGGTCCATTTGGACCAATTGGGTATGGTTATGTCACCATACCCAGGAAGAAAAAATGGAAAATTAAAAATCTCCAACGAGGCGTTCTGGGGCAGCACAGACAGGTATTTTCTGTGTTAGAGTTCTACTCACTACAGGGTGTACTTTGAGGGTTTTTGACTCTTTCACAACCCTTACAAAATAACTGCCTTTTGATGACATAGCTCTGTCCTCAATGGCATAGAGACAGAAATACTTACATGTTTTCCCAATGTGGTTTGTCAAAAGTGTTTCATTGTCGCCTCCTGAAGAAAAATCAGCACATTAACAGCAATTCAAATGTGTAACTTGAGCTATTAAACATGTAGTCTAATAAAAAAACTCAGAAAATAGTGGAACATGTATATCCTAATCTCAGGGTCACACCCAAACCCCCCAAAGTTCAGTTAGACAAATTAGAGCATCGAATCCTTACAATTGAGAGGCTGGAGGCTGCACTGCAGATTTTATTGGAACATAAATTAGTTAAACAAGTAGTCAAATAACAAAAAGAAGTTGTGAATTAATTTCCTGTTAATTGAATAACTAATAATCTACTAATTATCTCAGTTAAAATAATTTGTTGTCATGCATTTTATTTTGTTAATATGATCATATTGAGAATGATAACAGGAGACAGATGTAAACTCTTTCATATCTATCTGTATTGACATTCCCGTCCTTTTCTTGAAACATTATTGGACTATAATTATTTTTTGTTTATTATAGATTTGTGGGCTTCTTCTATTATATGAAGGTTGCTGTGACCATTCAGCAGTTTTCTTTTATTTAAAAGGCTCGTTTCTATTAAATAATTTCCATAGCAGGTGACCTCATCACCAATCAATGCAGATTTGTATTACTGTACTCCACTGGACAAGAAGAACACATAACTTTTCATTGGATATGGTGTTTTCTTCTATATTATATCAATACTGTTGTGAAAATAAAAATGTGTTTATTGGAGAGTCTCATTGGTTATCAATAACTTCCTTGTCATGTATTGATTTTTAATAAAAACGTATATAATACAGAAGGTGGATTAAAATCCCCCCAAATTAGTGTGTCCTCGTACAGTGTAGCCTAACAGTGCTGCATTGATTTGGAGTCACTCGGTCATACAGTATGAGGGTATTTAAAGAAATTGAGCTTTTCCAATTGAATATTGCTGAGTTTCCCACAAATATTTATACAAAATAGACTAAAATCCAATAACAAGAGGTGTGATTTATTATGCCTGTGTAGTAATAATATTGTGTGTGGATTTGGACCCACTGGGTCACATGATATAGATTTATTTAAAAAAAGAAATGAGACTTTCAAATAAAAAATCTGCAAAACCTAATAACAATATTCATATAAAACGTAAAGGGCACAAACATCAAGTAATATAGCAATGCAGTAATACAATGTTGCATTGATTTGGAGTCACTGGGTCTCATGACATGGAAGCTTTTAACAAATATAAAACATACTGTATGGATATAAAACCCTTAAATCCAAGGTGTGTCTAATTTGTTCAGTGTTATAAGAATATAACGTATGGGTTTGTAGTAACTGGGTCACATCACATAGAAGCTATTAAAACAGATGTAATCTTCTACAAAAATATTTAAAGTAAAATCTATTTGTGACACCTCAGTAATAAAAAAATGGCATAATACACCTTTGCAATATTGTTTTATAGATCAGAGGACTATTGAGCCCTTCTGTTATCTGCCTGCCCTTTAACCACTCCTCTTAGATAACATCAAGAGAACCAGCCAAAGGTACACGATAGTTGTTCAGAAGAGGTTTGTAGGGGCCTTTTGCACAAAGATGCCTATTATTATTTTAAATGTATTAAATGTTTCTTGTGTAAATGTTATAAGAGAATTATTGATTTATCCGAGTTGAATTGAGATCTGTTCTGCATAAGAAACATCATGCTTTTTGTATTGCAGAATATAAAGTGTTCTAACCCTATATTATAAGTAACATTTTTTCGCTATCTGAAACAGTGTGGGAATGTTTAATACATTCCGTGAGCTTTTATTTTGAATCTTCTGCCATGGCGCCAATCCATGTAAGCTACAATTGTTATTGTTCAACAGGTTTTGTGTTTATTTAAGCACTTACGGTTATCTTCTTTTTCTCCGACGAAGAAGTGTTTGATGCTGAAGTACTTGTCCTTGGAGTGGTAGACGACAGTAGTTTGTCCGTGACGCTCGCTCCACATCACCTCTGCTTTCCCCTTGAACTGAATTGATAGGGAATCTATTGTGCACTCTTTGGTCACTTCCAGCTTGACCTCACCTGAAACACAGTCGCCACTGGTGAAGGTGTTTTGCTCATTATTGGCGGGGTTGTAGTTGACGGTGAGGCTCTTCACGGTTAACATGATGCGTAGCTTCTTAAGAAAATACGATAAATTGTTGTCCCAAGCTCAAAGCGAGGAAATATAAAGCCCACCTCTCACTTCCGCGATGGGTGTGTCACCACGAGGAACCTTTGATAGTAAAAGATAGGGCGGAACCTTGTAGGCTATTTTCCCCTCCCCTCGTTTAATATCATTATTCCTCCACACATGTATTTATCTAATCAGAGTTGGGAAGTAACTAAGTACATTGACTCAAGTACTGTACCTAAGTACAATTTGGAGATACTTTTATTTTAGTATTCTAATTTTATGCTACTTTGTACTTCTACTCCACTACAATTCAGAGGTAAATTGTGTACTTTTAGTCCACTATATTTATTTTGTAGCCTACCTTACTAGCCTAGTTACTTTACAGATTTGGACTAATGATGTGAAATATAATCAACACTTAAATAAGAATTGAGTTACACCTGGAGTAAATACACAAGCCACCCTGCAGTATACAAAGTAATTATAACTAGCTGCATCTTCACCAGCTTTGATAACATATTAATGCATCAATAATTATAATGAAAACGTATTAAAAATATTATTCTAGAATGAACCAATTTGCATAATAAGTACTTTTACTTTTGGTACTTCAAGTATATTTGATAGCTTATACCCTTGTACTTTTACTTGAGAAACATTTTGAATGCAGGACAAGATCTGAGTTATTCTCCAATCTAATCATATTTAGTTAACTCTCACCCGTTTGGCTGTCTTTCTTGTTGAAGGGATTTTAAGCCAATTTTGTTGGACTACTAAAGTAAGGCAAGGCAAGGCAAGGCAAGGCAAGGCAAGGCAAGGCAAGGCAAGTTTATTTATATAGCACCTTTCAACACAAGGCAATTCAAAGTGCTTTACAAAAATGGAAGACATTATGAAAATGGCATTTAAAATCAGTCATTAAAAAGAAAAGATAATAAAATAAACATTAAAAGAAAAATTACATGGATAAAAGTTAAAAGTTACAGTGCAGTTTAAGATGTGAATAGTTCAATTAAAAGCAGCGGCAAAAAGAAAAGTCTTCAGCCTGGATTTAAAAGTAGTAAGAGTTGCAGCGGACCTGCAGGTTTCTGGGAGTTTGTTCCAAATATTTGGAGCATAATAACTGAATGCTGCTTCTCCATGTTTAGTTCTGACTCTGGGGACAGAAAGCTGACTAGTCCCTGAAGACCTGAGAGATCTGGATGGTTCATAATTTAGCAGTAGGTCAGACATGTATTTTAGGCCTAAACCATTCAAAGCTTTATAAACCAGCAGCAGTATTTTGAAATCTATTCTTTGACACACAGGAAGCCAGTGTAAGGACTTCAGAACAGGAGTGATGTGATCCACTTTCTTAGTGTTAGTGAGGACTCGAGCAGCGGCGTTCTGAATTAGCTGCAGCTTTCTAATAGATTTTTTAGTGAGACCTGTAAAGACACCATTACAGTAGTCGAGTCAACTGAAGATAAAAGCATGGACAAGTTTTTCCAAATCCTGCTGTGACATTAGTCTTTTAATCCTAGATATGTTCTTTAGGTGATAGTAGGCTGATTTAGTAACTGTTTTAATGTGACTGTTGAAACTCAGGACAGAGTCCATGACTACACCTAGATTTCTGGCTTTATCTGTTGTTTTGAACATTGCAGACTGAATCTCAGCGCTAACTTTTATACGTTCTGCCTTGGCTCCAAAAACCATTACCTCAGTTTTATCTTTGTTTAATTGGAGAAAGTTCTGACACATCCAGTCATTGATTTGTTCAATGCACTTACTAGTAGGCTCCTAAAAGTGCAAAATGTTATTCCCATAAGGTAAGATGGGAATCAGGGCCAACCTTACAGTCGTACAAATAACAACGTTTTCAGGTACAATAAGGAATTTCGTTTTTACTATATAAAAAAACTGGGGTCACTGCACTGAATGCTTTCTATACCAAGTGATGTCATTATCCTTTTCACCACCACTTGTGTTTCCACCAAAGAAAACTGAAGCATTAATACCATAACATCAGTAACAACATGTATCTCAAAGTGGTGCACCTCCTTTACATTATAAACATTAGCTATTAGGACATAAAGTACTGAATCTAAAATATTGCTCTTAGATATGTTTTTTCTATTTTATTTATATTATGTCCAAGTAATCAAGGCTACACTTAACCTGGTTGATTGTAGACTAATATGACTTGATCACAGTGTTTTATTTTCTGATTTGCTTTATCCGTGTCAGTTTGCATGGACCAACTGTTAGAAAGAAATGTCAGTTAATGCAATATAACACAACATATCTCTCTGGCGCCTTTTTTCCATCATGAATCAAAAGTGTTGTGCTCTCCACATTTAGGAAAATTAATACTCAAAAAGCATTTCATGGTGTTTTCTCATAGAGACATCTTATGCTTGTAAATCTCCCCCTGACGCTTTGAAGACTGCAGTAACATATTAGGAGTTTTTCAACAGTGATTGTTTTACAACTGATCACAAATGGTTAACTGTTTTTGTCTAGTTTGAACCAGTTCTGTTTGTGGTTGTGGCTAACCAGATAAATACCAACGAGCCTACTTCTACACAAAGTATTGTCCTTTTTAATGTAATGTAAAAATAGTAAATATTGTACAGCTTAAATGTAAATGTATGTCGTAAACAAAATGCAATACTAATAAAGGGATATACTTTTTAGCTTTACAATATAATGAAAGCATTAACTCTAATTTCGTTTTTACCTCTGAAATGTCCACATATCTTCACAGTCCAACCAATTATATTCATTTCCAAGATCTATCAAAGGAGGGTGCGTCCCATGTTCCATAGGCAGGAGGGGGGTCTGAGGGTTGGGGATCTGAGGGTTGGGGTGCTGAGGGTTGGGGTGCTGATGGTGGTTGTGGAGGGACCATTCCCCAGGATGGTGGGTAGGTTTTTCCAAATGGTTCAAATCCAAAACCAGAAGCAGCGAGTGGGGGCGCCTCCACACCAGGAACCATAGGGGCCGGCAGGATGACTATGGGGAATTTGATCTCTGGGTCCGAAGCATATTTGACATCAAGGTAGACCTGTTGAGAAATTGTTGAAGTATCTTTAATCATCAGAATTATTGTACCAAATTCCTTTGTACATCCTGGGTGCATAACTCTTACTCTTTTAACTCTTTCGGGCAAACACCATTAACCATGATAGAGGAGTTTACTCAAAAGCATTCAGGTTCTGCAAAGTGCAGCCATAGGAGACAATAATCCAGAGAGTTTGACATTGCCAAGTATCCATTCACTTTCCTTTTTTTATTTTTCAGTTACATAATTCAGAGATTGAATGATTGATGAGTAAGATTACCAATCACATCAAAAGTGTTCAAATGTTTCTTGCAGGGTATGAAAAATGTAAATGTTAATTCAATCATTCAATTCTACAATTGACAATACACTTTTTCTCCCAGGAGACATGTTGTTTTTGCACATAAGTCACATAAGAGCAAGCAGACACATCTTTGTTGACATTATGGATGCTTACCCTGAGTCTGTGCTCTGCTTTGAGGATGCTGCAGTTGAGGATGGACGGCTCCACATCGAGTGGGATGGAGAGGACTCTTGTGACATTTTGGTTAGAAGACGGGGGGATGGGCTCTCCCACCTCTTTATACAAGTCTTGAGTTGAAACTCTTCTTTTTCCTCGTGCAAAGAAGCTATGCTTTCTGTACACACAGTACTTGGGCTTGATCTCGCGAGATGAGTTGTTCTGAATGTAGGCCATAACCTTTAGTCCTTCTCCTAGAAACAGATCAGAAGTGCCAAAACAACACTTAGCATGTGTGTAACAAGAGTTAATATAAGTTTTAGGACTCTCACCTTGGAAGAAACCTGTCTTTTCAAGATTCACATCCATGGCTACTGTTCCTGAGTTGAAAAACTTCATTTTCTTATCCTTAGACTCATGCTGTGGTTCCTGAAAGAAGATCAGACATGCAAATCACTTAAACGACTGACAGAAAACACTTAACCTATTAGCTTTCATTCTGGTGTATCAAATGCCCACATCCACTGCCAACCAGCATAACAAAATATGTGCCAATCCAACAGTTGTACTACTGAATTGTTAAGTCTTACTTTATACAGTGAGGGTGTGGTTAATGTTCAGTCAAAAATATCCAGGTATTCAGGAATGCACATTCCTCAATACACCTCAATGGCTGGGATTTAGCCATTCACCAACACAAGCAGAGTGTTTTCCCAGTTGGTATGCCAGGAATCAGGATGTCACTGTGCACATACCATCAGCCCAGGGTCACCGGTCAGGTCTGCCTTCTTAACAAAGTTGATTTTGGTAGAATCCTTCGTTGGAGCCCTCATTGATCTGCTCAGCTTGGCTTTTAGCGCGTACACAATTTTACCAAAGGCACCGTCGAAGGAAGAGGGCATATCTCTAAAGCAGAGGGCCAGAAGAACATGATAAACTTACTGGATATTTATTTTATACATTGCACATGCAGGAAAGCAAGCAATCAAATTACACAGACTCTATAGCAAAATAAATTATATTTATTACAGAGACATCATAAGAATGTTAACTTACTGGGGAGGGATCTGGAAGCTGAATGGGTAAACATGGGATCCTGGGGCAACGACATTGCTGTCTGAATAGCAGAGTCATTTTTAAGATAAATATGTCAAAACAAGTTAATTTTACAACTTCTCTTTAGCCTCAGGACAGGCAGAGACATACATACTTACATGGATTTCCCAACTGGTTTGTCAATAGTGTTTCGTTGTCATCTCCTAAAGAAATATCAGCACACTTAATTAGCAGCAATTCAAATGTGTTACTGTTACTATTAAACATTTGGTCAGATCAAGTCAGAAAATAGTAAAAAAATATATATCCCAATTCCAAGTTCACACCAAAAGGAAGCTCAGTTTACAATCACAACAGACGAATTAAAGCAACAACAAAAAATATATGAAGTTGTAGGTTGGATATTCAACAGACATTCAAGTTGGATCCACCAGCGAGTTCTTGATCAATCACACGGCTAGTGTTATGTTTTATTACCTAGTATTTATCTTGACAACTTCACTTTTTCTCTGCCTGCCCTAGAGTCCCTCCGCTTAACGTGACAGCCAAAGGAATGCGTTTGTTGTTCAGATGTTAGCTGTAACAACCTTTTGAACAAAGTAGGCCTATACGATTTAAATACTCTTTAGAAGATTCTAGTGTGACAGTTTTTCAGATATGAACTACTGTTTGGGTCAATATCACTATAAAGTAACTTTGGTGTCCCCATCAGAATCACTCAGTTATCATGAAAATGTAGCAGAATAATGAAACTCTGAGGTCTTATTATAAAAGGCAAAACATTTACACACATATCAGTACAAAGATAAGTCTCTTGAAATGTGTTTCCTTCATTTTATACCTTATTTTTTCATTGGATATAGGTGATTTTGGCATATCCCACACACTGTTCTGCTAACTATAGTGTGATTAAATCATACTACATTTAAAAAATAATTATATGGTTTTATTGTCCACAACGAGTTATTTGATAAAACGAGTCATTTTGATCATGTATATTCTATTTTGATAATAATATTGAACATTTTGCATGAGTCCCTGACATTTGCTGTCCACCCTGTCATTATGGGGCAACTACCCCATAAAAAACCCTCTGATGTTTTCAGTGACATTACTACCAACATTTTTATCTTTCCTCAATGGAGGCTGAGACATTGGCTAGTTGCAGAGTAAGTATTTAAACTTATATTTCGTAATTTTAATCATATTATGTGTGTAGTTGGATGTTGTCAAGCTTGTAAAATGTCCACTCTGTCATAGTGAAATGTCAATTAATATAAAAACCTTTCAGAAATTCGAAATATATTTGTTAAACAGTACACAGTCACCTTGCTAACTGAATCATGTTGCTAACTGAAGGTCCACCATGTACTCATGAAATGCTAATATTAGCCACACATGTCCACCCTGTCAGCAAGCCTTCCATAAATAATATAAAATGTACATTTTCAGAAAGCTATAGTCCCTTTCTCAACAATATATTTCAGTTAATGGAAAAAGTATTTGGATAAAAATGAAATTAAGGCAAACTATTTTTACCATGTTCACCCTGTCAGCAAGCCTTCCATGACAGGGTGGACATGGTACACAATGTACATTTTATAATCACCATGTAATTACAATGTATTAAATCTTTGAATGTTGTCCATGACAGGGTGGATACATTTAGCTGTTTGCATGTACTTGCAGTTAATTTATAAAAAGTGTGGGAGCTTGACGAACATCCATTTCTAACAGAATAACATATACAATGAATATGAAGTTCAATGGTTTTTGGAAATGGGGAAGTCTCCGTATGGTGATATTGACTCGTTTATCTGATTTGCACTGTTTGCTTATACAATCATCACGCTTGTTTGTTGTGTTTTCTTCTCGATTTGATGATTTTGATCAAAAGTGCATGCATATTTGTTGCAATCAAAAACATTTTGAGAATGTGTAAGCTACAATTCTATATTCTCTATCACTTACCGCTATCTTTGTCCCACAGGAAGTAGTGTTTGATGCTGAAGTACTTGTCCTTTGAGTAGTAAGTTACAGTAGTTTGACCGATTCTCTCGCTCCACAACACCCGTGCTTTCCCCTTGAACTGAATTAATAGGGAGTCTATTTTGCACTCTTTGGCAACTTCCAGCGTTAACTCACCAGAAACACAGTCGCCACTGGTAAAGGTGTTTTGCTCATTACTGGCGGGGTTATAGATCACCGTGAGGCTCTTCACGGTGTTCGACATGATGACAAGAACATACGAGTAAAAGTTGTTTTTCAACCTAAACCCGACAAGACGAAAGACTCTAAACTCAGCGGTGGGTGTGGTGCAGTTTTGAGGAGAACCCATCACAAATCTATGAGGTGTGAATTGTATGAGGTGTGATTTGTGCCAAAGAACGAACTCACTGAGCAGACAATCGTGTCGATCGTCGCCTACCATGCCGTGAACTATGCCGCGAGAGAAGTAACGTGACACTCTCGTCGCCACCCCTCTCGTCTGAGAAGCTACGTGACGTCTGCGTCTGAAGTTACTTTACTTATGGCGCGTTTCCACTACACGGCCTCGCTCGGCCTCGCTTGGCCTCGTTAGGACCAGCTCACTTTATGGCGCGTTTCCATTACAGTTTAGGAACTGGGGTAGTATCTATAGTAACGCAGTGTAGGCGGGTGGATAACTTCAGGATGTCTGAGGAAACCTACGTCTACCTGTGCAACAAACTGCGGCCAGCGATGGAGAGACAGGAAACACCATTCCGCGAGTGTATACCTTTAAAGAAGAGAGTGGCCATCGCACTGTGGAAGCTTGCTACCGGCTCAGAGTACAGAAGCATAGGACATATTTTCGGAGTGAGCAAGACAACTGTGTGCCGGTGTGTGCAAGACTTCTGTGCTGCTGCAGAGACGTTGTTAGTACCGGAACTAATTCGTTCACCAGACCGGGAGAAATTTGCAGAAATGGCTGCCTACACTGAGAACAAGTGGGGGCTCCCTCAGTGTGTAGGTGCTATTGATGGGTCACACATACCCATCTTGGCACCACAGGAATACCACCAGTTATCACCAAATAACCCAGTAATGTTACAGCTATGTTGCTGTTCAAGCTAGACTCTATTTCAATATAGTTTTGGTATTAAAATAATGTTACACCTCTTGTATGCCCTGAATGCAAAAACAACCACAGACAAGAATATATATTTTTAATTATCAAAATTATAACAAAGGCTGAAAAAACAGGAGAAGCCTGTCTTCCCTTGGTCTCCAGGAGAAAACGCCACTGTATATCACCAAGTTTTCATATAGTTTTGTGTGTGAAATAGATCGCTGCAGTGAACACGACTTTATGTATTTGTTTATGGTTTATTTGATTTGGAGGGATGCAGTATACATAGAAGTTCAGAGAAGAGGCAACCCCTATATATTGTTTATATTATTTCATTTCATTTTGGGACCATGGCAGAGGCAAATATAGAGTTAATGTGCAGAGATTATAATGTCCCGTTTACTAAAATATGTATTGTTTTATGATGTTTAGTTGACAAAATAGTCACTGTGCTACATTTTGCTGCACTCAAGCATACATCTGAAGACAAGAGTTGTGTCCCCCTTTGGCCACAAGGGGGAGTATATATATATTGTATATATATATTTTGTATAGATGTTGCAACTATACAGAGCTTTGGCAATACTATATGTAACTGAGGTCATGCTAATAAAGCTATTGAATTGAATTGAGTATAGCTTTAAGTGAGCTGTCAGGAGGAAACAAAGGTTCGCCAACACATTGCACTTTAATGCTGAGAAAGGCTGTCCAAAGACGTGAAACGATGTGCTGCAATGTCTGTGTATTTTTGAAGAATGCCAAGTAAAGGAAGAAAGTAATAACTCGCACTGAGTCTTAATACATTACTTTATTTCTATTATATAGAAACACTATCCAATGATTTATTATGTTTGTGTTACACACACACCATTACTGAATTCATTCTAAAACCAAGAATAACCTATACAACAATAGGGAGCCCTGGCTCAAGGACGGACAAAACAAGGACACCACACATGATTATTTTCCAATTACAGTATATTTATTTAAAGAGAGTAACTCAATTGTGATATCAGTTAATCAGTAATGTGTGTAGTGTACGGGTGTGTGATGTGTCAGCAGGGCCGGACTGGGACCATAGGTCAGGCCGGGAATTATACACCCAGCCAGGCCACTACCAGTTTTGTTTGGGGGCGTTTTGCTGGATGTATCGTCAATATTTACAACGTTGCTGCCCTTAGTGATAGCCCTACAGTTTGAATCTACTACTTAAATAGAAACATATGGACACATTGTTTAAAAAAGTGTGCATATGTATTTGGGAACCTTTCCATGTGAACATGTTTTATTTGGGGGTGGACCTCAAATGGATTAAACTCTGATCAATAACTATAGTAACTTATTGAGAGAACATGAACATAGCTTGCTTATACTGTTGTCATTACATTTCCTTTGGTTTTGTTCAGTGTTTTCATAGTCATAGCCAATTGAAACAGTTTCCTCTGTACCTGCCAGTTCTGTCCACTGAGCTCTGCCTGCATCTCTCCATCAGGGCCATCACCATCAGCATCATCTGATAGTGGAACTGAATAAGGAGAACATGTAATCATTACATTTACAACTATTTATGAAATAACATTATTCAAGAACATATATTATGAAACACTTATTTTATCACTTAGTTGACCCTGTATTTGCATGGCCTAATACCATAATGATTGTCTCCCCTTTAGACAACATAACCATCTCAAGTTATTCACTCACAGTATGAGGGGTTTGTAGCCCCACAGTTAGCTGCAGTCTAATGGTTATATTGCATATATTTGCCTTGAGTAACATTAAGGACATGGTTGGGTTTTGTGTAGCCTTAACCTCCAGTCACACAGGGCCTGCCACTAACTTAGCATTGGACTGAGAAACTGTTTTGTTGACAGTCGATGTGCACATCAGGCTACAATATAGAAAGAAATGTGGCTCATAATGTTCGCTCACTTACTTTCTGCTTCGTCATTCTATACCATACGGGGGGTTCTGAATACATCAGTGATTTTAGCACATTTCACTGCCTTTTTTTGTTGCAGGATGGGGGTCCATCCTTCCACAATAATTAACCTTGCCTTCAGTTTCAGTCGGTCCAGTCCACACTAATGTAAACAGCAGCGCGCTGGTCTCGTGAGAAACGGAGAGTGGAACAACCAATCACACCTTCATTATTCTCCTGAAATTTAAATGTGCACATTCGCTAGTCTGACAGGTGCGTGGTTCTCACTGCGCCTCATACCGGTGCAACTTTGAACACCTTCAATATATGCCGCATTAATGGATTTGGCCTGCAGTCACCGCATCTGGGCTGAATTAAACACGTATTATTTTAGTCCTGTGTGTTTATTAGAGGCCATGTCAGCAGGCCACATCATATTATGCCAGCGTTGCGTTCACAAGACATACAAGCCACAAACTGGCAATCGAAACATGCCACAACCTGAGGGACAGTGAATAAGGCCCCGCTCACACGGGACCGTTTGCGTTTATGCACAGTATGCGTATTCAAAAAAGTCTTCCGTTCACATGCATTAGTTTCATTTAACGTGTCTGTTCAAACGAGGCCGCTGGAAACGCTGTAGTACATATGTCGGGACTGTAAGTGGCGCTGTAACTTCCGCCAAAATACACCAAAAGCCGCAAAGAAGAGCAGCCCAGCAGCCCCGCCACAATGTTGCCATGGCTACCCTTCTGTTTAAGCCCCGCAGTGTATTTAGCAACATGTAGTTCATGTAATTCTCCATGTCCACTTGTTGCTGATGGTTGTGGTAGAGGAGCTGTAGATTTTGCACTAATATCTGTAGCATGGTCAGTAGCAGTAGCACTAGCAGTAGCTACTGACAGGAGGAAGTGTGTGGCGATTGCTGGTATTCAGCAGGATATAGTAATTTCCTCAGCATATGGATAAATGCAATGGGGAAGTTAACTGAAAGAATCCAAGAAGCACGTCTCTGTGGAGAGGACGGCTCAGAAAGAGAGATATTCTCTACAAACACCGGGTGAGATCGCACCTTTGTCAATATAATGGATCAATGCATGAAATCTGACTCTGTTTATTTTGTTTAAGGAGTATATTGGGCGTTAACAATTCTGGTTTGCCTTTTATAATATTATTTCATTCAAGAACCCCTTGTGCGTTTAATTAACACAGCTATTTTTGATAGTTGCTACAGCAGTGAGCAGGAGAGGTGGGGAGAGGCGGGGCTATCGTTATTTTTTCAGGAAATATTCGTATCGAGGTGATTACACGGACTCGGTTGACCCCCCAGAACGTTTCGTTTGCAAATCTATCCACCTTGGGACCCGTTATTGTTTGTGGGGTCAGTTTCTATCGGCCTCGTGTAAATAATAGGGCTATACGCACGCGAAACTATGCAGATACAAGCAGTTTTCTCCTCGTGTAAACGGCGCCTAAGACACACAGACACAGACACACCCACACACACCTTGAGGGAGGGAGGGACAGCTGATCGCCGTGCAGCAATCAGCTGTTCCCGAGCAGAGAGAGAGAGAGAGGGAGAGAGAGAGCTGCTAGACACAATTTATTAATCCCCGTACCGGACAATTGTTATTCGTTCCAAATCGGAACCGGATTTCGGTTCCCGACCCTCATCACATCCCCAGCCACAGCCGTGGTCTTAACCGGTCTTGACATACAATCTCGAGTCCTATAGGTCTGATACAGAGACAATACGAAACCAAATGCAGTCGATTCCGAGACAAGACGTTAAAAAGTAGTCTGGAGACCGGTCAAAGTACGCGCTCACGTGGCGGCGGCGTAGCTTAGAAAGTGCTATTTTAGATATGCGTGTTGATAACGTACGTGTGGATATGCGCGTGAATAACGTACGTGTGGATAAGCGCGTGAATAACGTACGTCTCGCCTCCGTTAGCATTGTATAGCATTATCCTATATTATATTTTTCGAATGATTCCGCTCCTAGTTTGGAGAGTGTTACAGGTAGCCTACACTTTCTCATCGGCACAGTATTGGTATCAGAAGAGAGGGGAATAATAATTAATAATCATTAGTATGAGAATATTTGCTGGTGTTGTACTCGAGACCGGTCTCCAGACCACTTTTTAAACGGTATTGGTCTCGGAATCGACTGCATTTGGTTTCGTATTGTCTCTGTATCGGACCTATAGGACTCGAGATTTTATGTCAAGACCGGTTAAGACCACGGCTGTGGCTGGGGATGTGATGAGGGTCGGGAACTGAAATCCGGTTCCGATTTGAAACAAATAACAATTGTCCGGTACG